TCAAGTCGCTACACCTCATGGCATGGAAGCTCCATGGCTGAACCCGATGGCGGTCTCCTGCTCGGACCCGGTTAGACAGGTCCTCTTTGGCAGTAGGAAACCTTCCACGAGGGCCACCTACTTTGCCAAGTGGAAGAGATTTTCAATCTTGTTGGCGCAGCACCTTTGGTCCCTGACGCTCGCCTCTGTACCACTTATACTGGACTGTCTTCTCCATCTCAAGCAGCAGGGGCTGTCCGTGTCATCAATAAGGGTTCACTTGGCCGCCATCTCTGCCTTCCACCCAGGCGCAGAGAGCTGCTTGGTCTTTGCTAACCCTATGGTCAGCCATTTCCTTAAAGGTCTCGACAGGCTATACCCGTGTGTCCGACAGCCTGTCCAGGTTTGGGACCTTAATCTGGTCAGACTCATGGGTCCGTCCTTTGAACCTTTGGCAACATGTGACATGCTCCCTGCCCTATCTCTCATATAAGGTGGAGTTTCTGATAGCAATAACCTCAGCCAGGAGGGTGTCTGAGCTCAAGGCCCTAACATCAGAACCGCCTTACACTGTGTTCTATAAGGACAAGGTTCAGCTCAGGCCTCCAAAAGTTGTCTCCCGGTTTCACATCAGTCAGGACATCTTCCTCCCAGTATTCTATCCTAAGCCACACTTGAGTGACAGGGAGCTTCACTCATTGGATGTCCACAGAGCACTAGCCTTCTATATCGAGAGAATGAAGCCGTTACAAAAGTCCGTCCAGTTATTCGTGGCAGTGGCGGACAGAATGAAAGGTCTTCCTGTCTCTTCTCAATGGCTTTCATCATGGATCACATCCTGCATCCGTGAGTGCTACAACCTGGCAGGTGTACCTGCTCCCCTGATCACTGTGCCTGCACCAGGGCTCAGGCCTCTTCAACGGCGTTCCTGGCACAAGTTTCCACCCAGGAAATCTGCAGAGCAGCAACGTGGTTCTCCATACACACTTTCACTACGTAATCACCCAGCAGGCCAGAGACCATGTGGCCTTTGGAAGAGCAGTGCTCCAATCAGTGGACGACTCCGACTCCATTTCCTGAACTTGGGGCTTGTGAGTCAGCTGGTTGGAATTGACATGAACAACCACGCAAAGAAGAAAAAACGATTACTCACTTTCTCGTAACTGTTCTTTGAGATGTGTGGTTCATGTCCATTCCAGTACACACCCTCCTATCCCTCTTTCGGAGTAGCCCACAAGAAGGAACTGAAGGGGTGGTGGGTCAGCAGGGCTCTATATTGAGTTCCATGAAGGCACAACTCCAGGGGGCGCCCAGGCCAACCTGACTGATGCTGGTAGGGTCAAAGTTTTCCAGCTGCCATGCACACACGCACGTGTACGCACACCTGATTGGAATGGACATGAACAACACATCTCGAAGAACAACAGTTACGAGAAGATTTCTTCTGGCAGCCAGATTCCTGTGTCTATGAGGAACCTCGATAAACTTTGTTTTTCAGTCTGAAGGCTAAGTTAAGTTTAATGTGTTAGAATATTTTGAGAATGCTGTAGTAAACGCTATCAAAGTATTTCGGTCAAAAATTTTATTTACCTTAAAATTCTTGTGATTTATTGAGGAATATAATCCATATCCATTTTATTTAATTTAAAATGGCACGTACTGACTGCAACTTTTCAAGAAACAGCTATGTCAGGTGTAGTAAGATTTTTTTTCTTAGTTTCTGCAGGCTATGCTTTTATTTATCCTTGATAATCTAACCGCAGCAATACAGCTGGGAGACCATGAGGCTCAGGCATTGTAATATCCTATTACAATGACTTCCAGCAATGCCTATCTATAGCTTGCAGGGTTTTGGCAGCATGCAGCAGCACTTCTCTTCTCTGGGGTAGTAGGCTATACCTCTCTAGCACCTCCCTTGGGAAGAAGGTTAGTGCTGCTTCTGTCTCTGACAGTCTGGGGAGAGCACTCCGGCTGTGCTGTTCAGGGAGTCTTACCCCTTTGGTGGAGGGTTGGGGGGGGAATTAAAGTAGCCCAAACAAAACAAAAAAGGTCAGTATACTTTCACAGTTCACAAAAACCAGAGTCCTAGGCTTTTGGGAAGCCAAAAACAAAAAACAAAAAAAGAGAAGAGAAGTATTAGACCTTCTCCTTTCTGAGAGGGCTTGGGTAGCTTAGGCTTCCAAGCTGTTTTCCTGGTCAGCAACCCCTGCTTTTAGAGGTCAGGGTGTCCTTCATTACAATCCTGCTCCTTCCGAATGCCACAGTGCATGCACTGTCCAGGTATGGCATCCTCCCTTTTAAGGACCCACCCATCTCCAGATATGATAAACTGCAGAGGTGGGGATTGAGGTTGATTTTTGTCTAGAGGAGCTCTTTAACTCCTTTCGGAGCGGGGTATGGATCTGCCACTACATCTGGGTTCAGCAACAATCAGTCCTGGTAATCCCACCCTGAATTCTCTGCACTGAGTATTTTCTTGAGCCTTGTCCTAAGTACTTGTGCTCTCTGACATTGCCTGCCTTTTAAGAATTTCACCATTGTACCTGAGGCCAGCAATTGATTGCATTTTCACCAGGTTGAGGGAATCATTCACCTTTGCCAACTATTTTATCGAGATCTCTTTCCAATTTTAAGAAACACTTGCATTTTTTCTTTTTCCAAAGTGTTATCAGGGTGGATTGATTTTAAACCAGAGTCATGTAAATCACCAATTCGATTCATGATTTAAATCAGTAAACAGGAAACCTTGATTTAAATAATTGATTTTAGGAATGTTGTGCATTTGTACTTTTTAGTTATTTTCCTAAAGAAAGGTTGACAACATTAGTTTGTAACCATTAAAACATGTTTAGTTGCAACTAAATAGTTTTTATACTAAATTTGGTGCTGCTTTTTACAAATTTGGAAGATAGACTATATCTATACACATTTGTTAAATCAGTTATATAGCTTAACTTACATTTATTCACATTCTTCATTTTTACATTTCACTATGTTAGAAAATGATGAATAATGCATTTTTTATTTACTAGATGGTTAATTTTTTACTTGTGTTTTGTGTCAAGCTCCAGTTAGATGGGAATGTGAATGCAATTAAAATGCAAAAAAAAAAATCATTGTAAAGTTATTTTAATTAGTTAAATAAAATTACCTTTAATTTTGCTAGATAAATAAGAAAAAAGTTTATTAGAAGTTTATCAAAACATGTTTTCCATTTAAAGCTGATTTATTCAACAAAGGAAGTATTATCTGCAGTTAGTGAATTGAACTGATTTTTTTCCTGTCAACACGTACTTCAATATTTTAGAACTAGTAGATCTCATCCTCTCACACCTAATTTTTATTCAGAGATTAGAAGAGAAAAACAAACTTTCCTGCTTTTTCAAATTCCTATTGGGTTTTAACTTTGAATGAACTAGTCATTGAACAGAACTAGTTAAATAAACTGACATGAAGAAAATATTCTCTGCACCTGCAGAAAAGATTATTGCTCTCAAAAACTGGTTTATCGCTTCAACAAACTGTGGTTTCAGGTGCTTTGCCAGTGGCTTCCACCAATCGGTGATTCAGCTTTCTTTAGAACTTTGGCAGTAAATATATACTGCTTAATTTTTTTTAAATTATATAAATGATTTTAATATATTAAAGTTTAGGCTTTATAGGTTGTCATAATTTCAAATTTAATTTTAAAATAGAATTTTAAAAATAAACGTCTTTAATTTACTTAAAAAATCAGATTTAATTAAATTTTTATATCTTAAAAAAATTATTCTTCTTTGAGTGCTTGTTCTTATTGATTCCATTCTAGGTATGCGCATGCCCACGTGCGTGGCTATCGGAGATTTTCCCCCTAGCGGTATATCTAGGGTCAACTATAGCACCCTCAGCCGGCATGCTGCTGGATCTTTCGGTAGCCGCCCCACTGCAGCTACCCTCTGGCCAGACCTGCTGTCCCAGACCCACGGCAGTCTTCTGCACCCAAACCTGGTGGTGTTTCACTTGACAGCATGGCTATGGCATTGCTGAATGAGGAGGAATGCTCAGCCAATGTCCATCAGATCTTGTTGGGTAGCAGAAAGCCCTCCACCAGAGCGACCTACCTGGCCAAGTGGAAGAGGTTCATGTGCTGGACCTCTGACCGGGGTATCCGGGCTGAGCAGGCTTCGCTGCAGGCGATCCTGGACTATCTTCTGCACCTCATGCTCCACTCGACTAGGGCTCAGGCTTCATCGGCAGCCTTCCTGGCCCAAGAATATCTGCTGGGCTGCTACCTGGTCATCTATCCACACATTTACGTCTCATTAAGCGCTTACCCAGCAAGCCTGAGACAATGCTGGCTTTGGTAGGGCAGTGTTGCAAGCCACACGACCGTGAACTCAGAGCCCACCTTCAAGGATACTGCTTGCGAGTCACCTAGAATGTAATCGACATGAACAAGCACTCGAAGAAGAAAAAACAGTTACCTCCTTTCATAACTGTTGTTCTTCAAGATGTGTTGCTCATGTCCATTCCATTACCCATCCTCCTGCCCCTGTGTCAGAGTTTCTGTCAAGAAGGAAGTGAGAGGGCGTAGGGCTGGTGATGCCAAATATACTGACACGTGAGCGCAGCACTCCAGAGGACGCCATAGCTGACCCTACGGATACCGCTAAGGCAAAAATCTCCAACGGCCACGCATGTAGGCGCATGCACACCTAGAATGGAATGGACATGAGCAATACATCTTGAAGAACAATTACGAAAGGTAGGTAACCATTTTTTTTATCTACACTGGTTTTCATTTTTGACCATTCTTGGACCTTTTGAAAAAAATAAAGCCTTATGCTAAGAGACTAAGATTCAGTTCTATTTCATTTGAAATTGGTGCACAACTCCCACTGACTTCAACAAAAGCAAGCCTGATGTGTGTCTTCACATTAATGCTCTGAGTTTTAAGAACATAATATTTGAAAAATAGGCCTGCATTCTTCATATGAGATTTAATCTTGTATAACCCTTATCCCACTGCATTTACATTTCAGATTTTTAATCTGATGAAGTTTGATAGCTATACTCGCTTTCTGAAATCCCCGCTTTACCAAGAATGCATTCTGGCTGAAGTAGAAGGTCGCCCTCTTCCTGATCCACAGCGTGTTCCCGGCAGCCCCACATCTAAACATAGTATCAACTCAGAGCAGTCCCATATCTCAACACCAAAAAAGGTGACTTTTGATTAAATTGTTACTTTTCTGAAAACTAAGTTCTTATCCATAGCTGAACTTCTCCGACCCCCCAAATTTGTTGGAAGATCAACAAGAATGTGTAGAAACTAATGAGTGTTCATATTTACTAGTGCTGACAAAGTATCTAATTGCCAAGTCTTAATGTACAAATTGTTTTGTTTGTCGATAGGTTTTTATCCATTCTAATAGAAGTTACTAACTCCCTTTTTAATATAATTTTATTTATGTATTGCCTAAATAAACACATTTTGTTCTACAGCTAATGAAATGAGGTAATTATACTTTATGCACCAATTCAGAAGTTGATTTTGATTGAAGTCCATAATTGTTAGGAAACTAAATTCTGGTATTTTCAACTGCAGGTAGCCAGTTAAAATTCAGCCAGGGTTAGTAGTGAATGCTAGGACAATTATGGGGTGCTTTCAATGACCTAGGTGGCGTGAGTTGGTAATTTCAGTCAATGGTAGGGTTACCATATTTAAAAAATAAAAAAGAGGACACTCCACGGGGCCCTGGCCCCGCCCCTTTCCCACCCCGCTCCCGCCCCAACTCCACCCCTTCCCCGCCCCAACTCCGCCCATTCCCCAACGTCCCCGCCCTAACTCCCCCTCCTCCCTCCCAGCCACGCGAAAAGGGCTGCCCAAGTGCTACCGGCTTCACGGTTTGCCGGGCAGCCCCCAGACCCTGCGCCCCCGGCCGGCGCTTCCCCAGCACAGCTGGGGCCCGGGAGGGGAAGCACCCAGCCGGGGGCGCAGGGTCTGGAGGCTTAAAAAAAATATTCTTCTTTGAGTGCTTGTTCTTATTGATTCCATTCTAGGTATGCGCATGCCCACGTGCGTGGCTATCGGAGATTTTCCCCCTAGCGGTATATCTAGGGTCAACTATAGCACCCTCAGCCGGCATGCTGCTGGATCTTTCGGTAGCCACCCCACTGCAGCTACCCTCTGGCCAGACCTGCTGTCCCAGACCCAGCTGGAGCCCGGGAAGGGAAGTGCCTGGCCGGCGGCTCGGGGTCCGGAGGCAGGGGGGGCTGCCCGAAGCCGGTAGCGCTGGCTCGGGCAGCTTGGCTCTTAAACAGAGCCAAAGTCTGAGACGGGAGGAGCAGAGCAGAGCAGAGCAGCCGCGGGAGGGGAAGTGCCCGGCCGGCATTTTCCCGGACATGTTCGGCTTTTCGACAATTCTCCCCGGACGGGGGTTTGATTGCCAAAAAGCCGGACATGTCCGGGAAAAACCGGACGTATGGTAACCCTAGTCAATGGACAATTGGACAATTGCCTACATCACAAAACCCACCACTGCTACTGTCTCAAAATATCCTTGCTATCCATCCAGTAGAGAGGTCAAAGGTTAAATAAGGTTGGAAAATGAACTTCCCTCTCATCCTTAGAATTTATCCCTTTACTACAATAGTATCCAGCTTCTGATCCTTAAGGATGACTGTGTTAAGAAAACTTGTATCTGATGATATATATAAATTGAAAACTACCTATGAGCCACGTTCTGAGATTTTTAAACTGAAATGATTGAATCAGTCCTGTTACTACAGGGCCGAAGTAGGGGACACTGAGCAGCAATTCTCTACAGTTGATAATCAGGACATCACCGGGTTGGCCACCTGGTGCATTGAAGGGGAGAGAGGAGGGAGCTTTGGCTGCTCCATTGTCTGTTCCCCTGACAGGTTGTGGGAGCCCTAAGGAGTGCATGATAAGCACGTCTCTACCTGAGCATCAGAGAGCAGGTAGCAAAAGACATCCTCCTCCACCACACAACCCTAGAGAGGTGAAGGGGAGGAGAAGTTGATAACCAAAATCCAATTACAGCTTCCTGATTCTCTGCTCCGACACAGGTTGGAGAATATTCTAGGAGATGCTCTAACTTGCACCAACTGACAAAGGTCTCCAAAGGCAGCATGCTAGCAGGATAGCCAACATGCTCCACCCACTCCTCCCTATGCCCGTCACATCCTTCTGCACCAGGAGTTTTGGGATGATACATATAAGAGTTGACTACGCTAGGTCTCTTGCCTGTTTGGGATTCCCTTATACCTGAGGAATCCCCAGCTGGAGACTTGTAGGTGGTTTCTGCTCTCTTTGTACTGCCTGAGCAGAGAAGCAGAGAATTTGTCCCTAAACCTTGACTGTTGCCCTGGGATTTTTGAAATAATATATTTGACCTTCAAAGTGAAAAGGTTATTGCTGTAGAATATGATTTATGCATGTTGGTTAGGGAAATGTCGGAAGTTTGCTTTTCTGATGCAACTATTCCATGGAAAAAGAGAGGACTTAAATTAATCTGGTATCTTTCAGAAGAAATAATTCACACCTGCATCCCACATGAAGTAATAATAATAATGAATTAATAATAAAAAGTCTTACCTGGAAAGCCAGAATTCCTGGCAGTGACTGGTGTGTGGGCTGGCAACTGATGAATTTACTCTTTGAATATCCTGGCCTGTTTTCAGCCAAATCCTTCATGTTGTTTAAACACTTTTTATTATAAAATTTGTCTAGATAAATTAAAAAAAAACCATAGTCTTTGGAAGCTTTAAAATTTTTTTTAATACTTTCATAGGAATCAGAACTTTGCTCATTCTTATTTCCACAATCATTGATCACCATTTTAAAATTTGAGAGTTTTATCTTTGCAACTAGATAACTTTACCACAGTATTCATTATTTAGTTGTAAAGGTAATTTTTAACTTTTTTTTATTGTCAGCCACTGTATTTTTGGGACATCCCCTATTTTATGGATAGAGGTTTTTTTTCTTTTAAATTCAGCATTTTAAAGAATATTTTAATGTGAAAAAGATAAATACTCATTAAAAGAAAAATTAGGCATAACATTATTAAAAATATATCTACGTTAATACTTTTAATCGACTATTATTTGTTATACATAAGTAGATGTTAGTTAAGAAAGACATTATCAGATACCTGTATTTAATTTTAGTTTATATTTCAAGCCTAGGTAGATTGCTGTACAGTATATGAAATTCTATATTTTTTTAAAAACCAAGTAAATGGAAATCCAATAACCCTTTTAAATCATTAGTTCTCTAGCTGTAGTCCGTAGACTGCCAGTAGTCTGTGGAGAGCTGATTAGTCACATTATGCTGGTATTTCTTTTTGTTTCCAGCTGCATCACTGTCCCAATATTACTTTTCCATATAAACCGTTTTTGTTGTTATTTGATTACCAGTCGCAGGGGAACTGGCGTACATAATAATGAGAAGGCAAAAAGATAATCAACCAGACCCTCACTCTATAATATAGTCCACTTTTAGGAGATTTTGAGAATCCATGCTTTAGACAATATGTTTGCAAGAGTGCTCCAGCTAATATTTTATCTGTGTTTTGATGATAGTTAATTGGAAAATCAAAGTCAGGAAGGTCCTTAAATGAAGAATCTGGAGAGGAAGATGCTGAGAAGAAAAAAAAGGGACATTTTTCTCCTGGTCAAGAAGTAAGAGTGTGGGGAGATCGCAGAAAAAAAAGGAAAATGATGACTACCAAAATGGTGAGTTTTCAAGTCCTACTTTGTTGCAAGATTGCTTCAGCAATAGACAGAATTGCTCCCACTGTTAACACTCAGCAAGGAATCTACACCTCATTACTACACATGACCTGGAGCAGATTTTTAATGATCTGCTGAGCTGTGACAGAGGGAAATGGTCATGTCTTGCGCCACAATAGCCAGGAACAGTCATGGAACTAGGTGGAGGTCTGTAGACAAAAGTCTGGGGAATGAGAAATTGGTAGCATTAAAGGCTTTCTACTTTGATATTCTGGACCAATGTGATTTCCCTCAGCTGTTTAAACATGCCTTCACCAATTTCCAAGAGGGTTTTTTTCTGTCCACCTAGCTGCACTCTCACTGCAAGTTGACTCTCAGCCTCTCTTACATTCATATCCTACCTTGGCCTTCATGGGGGAGTCAAACAGCTATACATGGAAATAAAGCCATAGGTGGCTATGCCCAAGTTCATTGAATCAGAGTGATGAGTGCTTTGTTGTAGAAACCTAGTTTACAGATAGGGAAATTACTTCTCTCTACAAAAAAACAAAACAAAAAAATCCCTTAAGGAGGCATAGAGGAACAATTTAGGGAGGGAGAATGAATTCCACAGGCGCAGAATGTTACTAAAATACAATCTAATTGGCAGAGATTGGGTTGTGTAGCCTGTTCATTCAACTGCTAGTCAGTCAGTAGCTTTTGTTGAGAAAATTGTAGATCTTGTATGAGGCAACATTAAACTATTTTTAGATAAATGAGGTCTGGGCTAATTGCACTGTGTTTGAAGTAATTTCTATTAGTGAGAATATTTGCATCTCTGTAGTTCACTGAAATGAAAGAGCACCACATTTTGGCAACTGCAGAGGCTTGCACAAAGCAATTAACAGGCAAACAGTTTAAAAAAATTGCAAAAACAAAACTACAAATTCTGAAATCCACTGCAGCAGTCAGCTACTCTAAGACATTGTGTTTATTGTTGTCTCTTCTTCCCCACCATCTGCCTACCATGGTTCTTGAAAAAGCCTTGTGAGCTGTACAGTTGATGTTGGGGGGCCATGTACGTGAATGAGGGCTGCAGAATCAGATACTAAGGTTATAGACCTAAACTTTAATAAGTGACAAGGGATTGAGTTCTCAATTTTTGGGTGTCCAACTTGAGACACCTTAAAAGAGCCTGATTTTCAGGGATCTGGTACTCACCTTGAAGGTATTGTAAATTGGTAGTCACTTTTTAAAATGTAAGCAATCACCTCCAAGAACAGGAACCGTGTCTTTTCATCTGCTTGCAAAAAGCCATGAACACCTGTAGTGTTATATAAGCAATAAATAATTACATTTAAAAGATGTTTAAATGTTCAGCATGCGAAGCTAGTACAAGGATTTGGAATTTTTCTTTCCCAGATCGGAAAATGAATATTCTAGTCAGATGACTTGAGGTTTTGAAGCATCTTTAATGAATAGTAAAACCAAGTATTTTTACTTATCACTCTACTTTTCCCACTTTCAGATTCTATGCATACCAATGGACTATTTTGCAGACGTGAATCACAAGGCTCCATGTCATCAGCTGCAAGTCTTGAACTGGTAAGGGCCAGCTCCTTAGAATCAAATAGTATGAGGAATGAAAAAAAAGGGGAGTGATTGTTACCTAGGAATTAAATAGGATATCTCCATTAATTTATTTTATCTCCTAGAACTGGAAGGGACTCTGAAGGTCATCGAGTCCAGCCCCCTGCCTTCACTAGGAGGACCAAGTACTGATTTTGCCCCAGATCCCTAAGTGGCCCCCTCAAGGACTGAACTCACAACCCTGGGTTTAGCAGGCCAATGCTCAAACCACTGAGCTATCCCTCCCCGAATCAATAATAGCCCAATTTTTCTGCAATAGTATAAATAAATAAAATGTCTATATGTCTTTGTATGTAAATTTCATATTCTTTTTAGACTGAACTTTTAAAAAAAATTTATAGCTATACTCTTTTGTGAAATAATAAGGGTCTGGTTGTTTAAACAGGTTGTCAGATGAATAGTTAAATTTTTTAAAGAACACTGTTATAGTGCTATTTGTGATCCTAAATGATCTTGCTTATAATGTAAAGATAAATATCTCTTTTATGTATTTTATATACCTGTTTTTTAAAATTGTCCTGCCATCTCCAAGCTATCCTGTCTCCTAGCTACCCCAACTTTCCTGTTTCTTTGGACATTATAATAAAAGTTAGCACTTTTATAGGGTCTTTCAAACCAAGGACACTAAAGCCCTCTACAAACTGACCCACCTTGCCTCCCAGCTACTGCAGCTCTTAAGCTCTGCTATGAACAATTGCCTGTTGAATTGCTCTTTGGGTCCTCTTCCTCTTCACTATATATGAGTTTGAACTCATTTCCTTGATGCCCCAAAGCTGCGTATCCCTCCTCTCTCTTCTCCTGGTCACTATAGCTTGACTCTGCTCCCAGTGTTTGAGGGATAAAAGAGTGAAGCATTCCCCAGCAGCATTTGCAACTAAAACATTGCAACACATGGTCATATGTGGAGAAACAAGAAGTGAAGACACAGTAGTTATAAACAATGTAGTTCCATCTTCACAGTCCAAGCTGAATGAAATGCACAAAGTAAACAATATCATTGATGAAAAGTAAACTTAAAATTTAATATCACCCTAGATTTCAAGTGAATTTTAACAAAGCGTATAAAAGAATATAATTTTAAAATATCCCTTTTTATCCTGACAGTATCCCTTTGACTTACAAATTTGATTCTAAGAATCATACAGATTCTTGTTGATATATGTGATGCTAGTGGGTAAACAGAGAAGTAAACCTTGCAGAGCCATATTTGTAGCATCCATTTAAATTGAGTGTTTATTAAATACTTCAAAATATTACCTTGTAAAAACAATGTAATGGAGTTGTCTCTTTTGATACTTTATGTGTACTAGGATGATTTTTCTGTGGCTATAATTAGGGCCTTACAAAATTCACAGCCGTGAAAAACGCATCATGAACTGTGAAATCTGGTTTTCCTCATGAAATCTGGCTACTGTAGGAAGGTTGCGGTATTGACATCCTTATTTCTGTACTGTGTTCAGACTGGGTGGCCGGAGAGCTGTGGCTTCTGGCCAGGCACACAGCTCTGAAGGCAGCACCACCAACAGCAGCGCAGAAGCGAGAGTCGCATGGTATGAGAGAGGGTCATCACTTTTGGGGGGAGCACTGCCAGCCTTATAGGTGGGCGACTGCCCATGGCGCCCTGGTCACGGGGGGCACTGGACCCGGGGTTGGGCTGGGGCACCCCAGCTGGGGGCTCCTACTGTGCACTGGGCTCTAGCTGCTAGTCCCAGCCAGGCTAGGGAGGGACAGGACTTTCTCTTCCCACTCCCAGGGCCAGGTCAGACCCACCTCTGGGATCTTCCCCCGGCTGCAGGAAGCTCCATGGCTGCTGGCTGGGAGCCAGCTCTGAAGGCAGCCCTGCTGCCAGCAGCAGTGCAGAAGTAAAGATGGCAATATCGTGACCCCCTACAATAGCCTTGCGACTGCCCCCACAACCTCTGTTTGGGTCAGTACCCCCACAGTTACAACACCGTGAAATTTCAGATTTAAATATCTAAAGCCGTGAAATGTAAGATTTTTAAAGTCCTCTGACCATGCAATTTACCAAATTGAACAGTGAATGTGGTAGGGCAGTTCCCAGCAGTTCCTCCCCCAGGAGTTGCAGGGGGATGCTGGCCACTTCTGGGAGCAGCGCGTAGCCAGGGCAGGTAGGGAGCCTGCCTTAGCCCCACTTTGCCTCTGGAGGGGAAGGAGTTGATCTGCAGGGCCCGCAGACCCCTGGGCGTATGCTCGGGGACGCCCAGGGGTCTGCCGACCCCAGTTTGAGAAATGCTGCTCTAGTGGAAACTTCAGGGAAGGCAGTGTGGTACTGCCTCCTGCTTTCCCCCTGGTCCGAATTCTCCCTCCGGGGGTGGCTGCACTTAAAGTATGTTTAGATTTGTGAAGTTTGGTCTGTGGTAGTGTCTTTGTCTTAAATTGAAATAGTTCTAAAAAAATTACCTGGTAATAGAAAGATTTTGAAGGAAGGGTAAACCTCAAACATGGTTAAAAGTGTGTTCCCTTGCTTTATTTGATTTGTTGGACTGTAATATTGTGTGTTTGTTCTTAACTTTCATTTTTGTTTCTGACAAGTCTGATGCCTCTCGGTTATCTGCATCTGTACCTGATAAAGAGAAATCCTCAAAATACTGCTGTATAAACCTTCCAGATGGCTCGTCTTGTAAAATGGTTGTTAAATCAGGATTCTCAGTCAAAGAGATGTTATCTGGGCTCTGTGAGAAACATGGCATTAACATAGCTGCAGTAGACCTTTTTTTAGTTGGAGGAGACAAGGTATTGTATGTTCCTATACTTTTTTTTAAAAATTCAGACTTCCTAGTCAGTTTACTAATGTGGGATTATTGATTATTTAGGGGAATACTCTACCTCTTTGTATTCAGACTTCACATTGACGATAAGGGGATTTGTGTGTGTTGCTCAATGGAAAAATATTAGTGAGATCATTACTGGAATATTGTGTCCATTTCTGATACTACATTTTAAAAAGGATATTGAAAAATTGGAAAGGGTTCAGGAGAGAGCTACAAGAAGATTTGAGGTCTGGAAAACATGCCTTAGAGGGAAGAGATTAAGAACTTCAGTCTGTTTAGTGTGTCTGAGAGAAGTTTAAGCAGTGACTTGATAACAGCCTACAGTATCTACATGGAGAAGAAATTTTTGATAGACAGCTCTTTAATCTGACAGAAAAAGGCATAACAAGATCCAGTGATTGAAAGCTGAAGCTAGACAAATTCAGATCAGAAATAAGGTGTATTTTTTTAACAGTGAGGGTATTTAACCATTGGAACAATTTATGAAGCGAGGGGATGGATTCTCTATCATTTGAAGTCTTTTTAAACCTGAACTGGATATCTTTGTAAAAGATGCTATGGTTCAAAAAAGTTATGGGCTCGATGCAGATTTTGTCTTGTGTTATGCAAGAGATCAAACTAATGATCCTAATTTACTTGTCTTCCTTGTAAAATAATCTTTTTTTTTTAATCTTTCTGCCAACATTATTTTGTCGTATTTTCTGATGTATCATTCTGTTTGTTCACCCCCTTATGTTTAAATGCCCAGGCCTTGTATGAGATGCTGAGAACTCTCAATACCCATTGACTTTAATGGGAGTAGGGAATTGCTAAGCGCCTCACAGGATTGGCCCCTACATCTTTTGGAACTATCCAGAGAAAAAGAGAATCATGTTGCTTGCTGTAAATTAATACAATAATAGCCATACACACAAAGCTTAATAATTGTTCTGTCTCTCTTCCTTGGCTAATTTTAAAATTGCTTTTTTTGTTTTGCACAGCTGTTACATATTGTTAAATGATATATAACAAGTGACATGTTCCCAATTTAACATATTTTCTCTTCTTTTGTTCCAACCATATGCTCTATAGCCACTTGTATTGCATCAAGACAGTAGCATCTTGGATTCTCGGGATCTACGTTTAGAGAAACGTACTTTATTTCGGTAAGAGAAAAATATTATCTTTTTGTGATATTTTACACTCCAGCTAATGTAAATGGGCCAGAATGCATTCTGAGTTATGTCTGTGGAATAAAATAAAAATGAGTGTAACACAGAATAACATTTGGTATGCTGTGTCTGTTTCCCTGTCTGTAAAATGGGAATGTCAGGCTGCCTAGAGTGCCCATGAACATGTGTGCCAACCTCAGGGCAGACTATTACAAACCACAGAACAAACCCCAAACTGGTTCTGAGTTCTATACTTAGATTTCACCAACCACGTATTAAGTGTGAACTCCTCAAGCACTATAACAGCTTTAACATGGAGTCAAAGATAGTCCCTTATGATACTTCAGTCTATCTTGCCACCCAGGCAAATTTGCCTTTGTGATAGATGGTCTCTTACACCAAAAACCACAACAATATTCAGATTACTCCCAGTCCCAAAGGACTAGTCACCTACCCCAGGTCAATTGTACCTCAGATCTCACACCAAAGACAATGTTTATAGTCAATCCTATAATAAACTGTCTAAAGATTTATGAGTTACAGTAATAATAATATATGGAGATATACCTATCTCATAGAAGTGGAAGGGACCCTGAAAGGTCATTGAGTCCAGTCCCCTGCCTTCACTAGCAGGACCGAGTACTGATTTTGCCCCAGATCCCTAAGTGCTCCCCTCAAGGATTGAAGTCACAACCCTGGGTTTAGTAAGCCAATGCTCAAACCGCTGAGCTATCCCTTCCCCCAGTCTAAGGTTATGTCTACACTGTGTAGCTTACAGCTGTGCCACTAAAGCCTTGCCGCTGTAAGGCACACAGTGTAGCCACTCTTTGTCGGCAGGAGAGAGCTGTCCTGTCAACATAATAAAACCACCCCCAACAAGGGGCGGTAGCTTTGTTGGCGGGAGATACTGTCCACACTGGTGCTTTTTGTCGTTAAAACTTTTGCTGGTCAGGGGTGGGTTTTTTTTCAAACCCTTGACTGAGAAAAGTTTTAACGACAAAAGTGCAGTGTAGACATAGCCTTAGATTCCAAAACATAATAGAAGTTGCTGTAATGTGCAAGCTGTATATGTCCTTTAGGGCTAACCCAAGCTAAACAGCTGGGGATCGCTTGCTTATGCTTAGAAATATTGCCCTCTCCCTGAAATCCAAGTAGCACAGGGATAACAATTTCTTCTTGACAGGGATTTTTATTCCCTTTCCCCAGAACTCAAGTGGATGGGATGAGCATTTGTGCACGTCTCCTCCACATAGGTGTTGGGGGAGCAATCAACAAACACTTGTCCCCTGATGTTCCACAATGGCTTGTCTGGTGTCTATGGACCAAAGGGTTGGAGAGGAGATGATACCTCTTGTGGTAAACTAGTATTTCACACTTGGTAATGCTTCTTACATTACAGTTTTAGGGGTTTACAGTTTTAGGGCAAACACTTTTATAGGTACAGAGCTTACGCTTAAATATTACCTTATAACATAGGATGCAGGTATTATAAATGAGATTAATGCAAGCAGCAATTTACAAGCATTTCATAAAGTCCAAAAACTAAATACATCTCTATAAATCTGATACCTATTTTAACGGTACTAACACTCAGGTAAGCCAGACTGGTTTCCAGTTGTGCATTTGTCAGTGTTCAGTGAGGCCTAGAAGCCTTGAAATGAGCTGGCATCTGGTCTGCCATCACAGGGGATAATATAATAATAATAATAATTAATGGAGATATCCCATCTCCTAGAACTGGAAGGGACCTTGAAAGGTCATCGAGTCCAGCCCCCTGCCTTCACTAGCAGGGCCAACTACTGATTTTGCCCCAGATCCCCAAGTGGCCCCCTCAAGGATTGAACTCACAACCCTGGGTTTAGCAGGCCAATGCTTACCTTCTTTGTAAGGAGCTTTGAGATCTACTGATAGAAAGTGCTATTTAAGAGCTAGATACTTGTGTTACTGTATTTGTGAAATTACTTATCTAAAGTCTGGGTATATGTCCATGTATACAAATTATATTTTAAAATTTGGGCTTCCCTAGTTGAATTTATCCTTATCTTTAAAAAAAATACATCTTTGTCTGTATGTTACTTGTAGGAAGGTCATTGGTTCTTTAAGACACTGAGAACATAAATCATATCTGAGACCCTCTTAAATCTGGGAAAAGTTTGCCCTTTGAATAATGCACAATATCCAACTTGTAATAATCTAAGAGAAAGTCAAGGCAGACTGTTGCTATATTCAGAAAACCCAAATTAAATAGAGTACATGATTCCAGGAAAAAAACAAATAAAGGTTGTGTGATGGTCTAATGTAAACCAATGAGGGCAAACAAACTTGGATATCCATCTGTAGGCAGCTAAACAAATGGCCTGATTCTTCTTCGAGTAGTGTCCCTATGGATGCTCCACTGGAGGTCATGCCTCCCCCACCATCTCTGGTAGACGGCTTCCATCTTTTCCTGGAGCTGGCAAAGAGGGCAGCGGACACCCACTACATACTACTAGAGGAGGTCAAAGATGCCCACCATCAGCTCCTTGCTATCATCTATTCTTTGTCCTTCTCAAAGATTGACTCCCAATTAATGAAGCCATTTTAGACCCGGCAAACCCAGCATCAGTGGTGTTAACTTGCAAATGAGCAGAGAAAAATTATTATATCCCTGCCAAGGAATCGGAATTCCTATTTTCCCACCGACCACCCAACTACATTGTGGTGGATGCTGTCAATTTCCATGGCCAATAGCACCGGTCCAGAGCTATGCCCTATAATAGGGATAGGAAGCGCCTTGATCTTTTCGGTAGAAAGGCGTATTCCTCGGCCACCTTATAGTTCCATATTGCCAACTATCAGGCACTCACGTCCAAATACGATTACATAAATTACAATAAATGTAATGATTTTATTGAAAAGCTGCCAGAGGTACATCGGGAATCCTTCAAAGCCATCATACAGGAAGGGCAATTAGTAGCAAAAACATCACTGCAATCGGCCCTCGACACCACCGACATGGCAGCTAGGGCAGTCTCCACAGCAGTGGTGATGTGACAGGCATCATGGCGCCCCTTGTCGCGATTCCCGAAAGAGGTGCAGTCCATGGTGGAAGATCTTCCCTTTGAGGACATGAAGGTCTTTGCCAAAAAGACCAACGCCTTCCTTTATGCCCTGAAGGATCTCAGGGCTACTTTCGGGTCGCTGGGTCTATACACCAGGGCAAAAGATACTATTTAGTCCCCAGTCCCAGCACAGGCTGTATGTGGCCCCACCCCCCGACTGACTCAACTGACCATCATTGTACACCAATTTGGCCACTGATTGGCGTCGTTCTGCAGTGCCTGGGAATGCATAATGTCAGACCCGATGGGTCTTAGAATCATCTGGTTCGGGTACGCCATCCATACCACCTCCACAACACCCTTTCCCATCCCTCTTCAGGGACCTTTCTCATGAGAGTTTACTACAACCAGAGATAGATCTTCTCCTCCAGTTAGGAGCCATAGAACCAGTACCTCAACATTTATGAGGCCAAGGGGTTCTACTCTTGTTATTTCCTAATAACCAAAGGAAGGGAGGTTGGAGACCCATACTAGATCTCAGAGCTCTCAACAAGTTTGTCAAGGCTCAGAAGTTCAAGATGGTCACCCGATTGATCATTCCAGCATTGGAACAGGGAGACTGTTTTTTGGCCTTTGACCTCCGTGAGCCTACTTTCACATCTCAATCCTACCAGCTCATTACCAATTCAGAGTCCTCCCCTACAGGCTCTCATTGGACCTGAGAGTATTTTCCAAAGTTCTCTCAGTGGTAGCTGCTCATTTACACATGCTAGGAATAATGATTTACCCATACCTGGACGATTGTCTACTCATAGCCCAATCTCTCCAGAAGGCTCACCAAGTCATCGACACTATGATACACTTGTTCATAGAGCTGGGTCTACAGATAAACACCCAGAAGTCAACCTTCACTCCAGTGCAACATCTGGAATTCAAGGGGGCTGACCTCAACGCTTTGCAGACCAAAGCCCTTCTACCTCAACACAGGTTCCTATCCCTGGTTTCACTCATAGACACCATTCAATGCAGCCCACGAATACTGGCCAGGCTCTGCCTCCAACTCTTGGGACATATGGCAGCAGGCATGGCCATGATACTACATGCCAGGATTCATATGCGATGCCTCCAACTGTGGTTCAGTTCGGTTTACAGACTGAACAGAGACACGTTTGACAAACCCCTGTCACTACCCACCAGGATCAAAAACTCCTTAGACTGGTGGAAGAACCCAGAGGTGGTGTGCAAAAGGATCTCCTTCTCGCAGACATCACCATCGTCGCTCATAGTGTGGGGCATGCATTTAAATGGCCTCATGATGCAAGTAAATGGCACCTGTGGAGATGCATCAATCTCCTTGAGTTGAGAGCAGTCAGGAACATCTGTGCCCATTTCCTTCCGCTGATTGCAGGATCACACACAAAGATCCTAGCAGACAACATAGCCTGCATGTACTACATTATTAGTATGGTGAGGGCCAGGTTGCCCTATCTATGCACGGAGGAAGTGAGATTATGGAACTGTTACATCTCCAACAACATTACTCTGTCCACAGCTTACCTCCCAGGCACACAGAACGCAATAGCAGACAATCTCAGTCGCAAATTCCCACACGATCACAAGTGGGAGATGCACTCCATGAACTATTCACATAATGGGAAACACTGTCTACATACCTGTTTGCCACTTACCAGAACAAGAAATGTCCATGCTACTGCTCTAGGGTGGGGATAAGCAGTGCTCGCTGGTCAATGCTCTTTTCCTCCCATGGGACAAGGACCTTCTTTACATCTTTCCTCCATTTCCTCTACTGCTGAAGGTCCTGCTAAAAATAAAAAGGAACAGAGCTCATGGCATTCTGATTGTTCCTACTTGGCCAAGACAGACCGGATACCCTTACCTCGCACAGCTCGTGATGTGCCAACTAATCTCCCTCCCAATCATTCCGCACCTCCT